AAAAAAAAACAGTGTGAATAGTTTATCTTCTACAAGATTCTCTCATAAGACTCTTTTTCTTTCTCCTTTATCACTTCTCATTATTAAAGTCCATTACACCATGTGACTAATATAAATATATATATATATATATATATATATATATATATTCAGAAAGAGAGAAAGAGAGAGAGAGAAAACATTGCTTACTCATTGTATTGTGAAAGGTCGAGTCGCACTGTTGTTTGAAGTAATGATGGGTCGGATGCATACACGACACGTGTAAGTACAATATTACCATCCTCCTCAAATGAAATGGGCGAAAACATAAATCCCCCTTCCCCATCAAAGCGAAGAATCCAGTTATGATGTCTCCATACAGACCGACGATGGGCTATAGTGATAAGGGAGATACCCAATTGACGACACATACTATACAATTGCTCCTCCACCTCCAAATCCATCATACTACTACACTCATCCAAAATAGCAAATCGTGGACGGTGAAAGAATAATCGAGCCATGGCAATTTTCTGTTTCTCACCCATAGATAATGTATCATCTGCCCAAGAGAGTCTAGAATCCAATGTGATATTAGGTTTAAGCAATATATCATCTACCATAGCCTTCTCTAAACAATCCAGTAATGTAGATTCACTTACACCAATCTCTGAGCTTAGTTGTGGATATGTGATTTGATCACGTAAGGTCCCACTAGACATATAAGGCCTTTGCGGAACATAATAAATCTGATCATTACGTGGTTTAATAATACGACCACTTTCCAGAGGCCAAAGACCTCCCAATAAACGTACAGTGGATGATTTTCCACAACCATTTGGTCCTACAATGAGAAGATTCATTCCAGGCTTCACATAGAAGGATAATCCTTTACAAAGTACTTCTCTTGTTGGTAATATAAGAGAAACATTTTCAAATTCAATGTGTTCTCCACGTGCAATTTCACCACTACCACTACCATTATTACTATTATTAATCTTATTTACTTCTGCTGTTGCTCGTAAAATACCTTCTTGAAGCGCATATACACGATTACTCAAAGCTCTTAAAACGAAACACTTCTTTACACTCTTCAGTAAATCTCCAACAGCGAGGGCTAAATTTCTAAATAAATAAGAAGTTTCCACAAAAATACCAGTGAGTTCCACTGCAGACATACCTTCTGTATTTTTTGAGAATACAGCAGCTCCACAAATCGCGTAACCAAGAACAGAAGATCCGTATTTTAAAAAGATAGTCTCTATAAGGGCATAACGACTGCGAACAAAGGATGCCCACTGATCATATCGTACAATAGAAGAAAGATAACGGTTCATAAGATCTTCATGAAAAGTTTGTCCTCCTGTCATCACAACTTCCTCTGCAAATGGAATAAGACGTTGATGAGCAGTCACAAGAGCCCCATTTCGTGCTAATTGTTCATCTACCATTTCTTCAATATTAGGGGATAACACATACGCAATAGCTGCAAAGGTATTGTAGTAGGCAAAAACAAGTAATGGACTGCGAGCGCCGCCAACTAATATCACTCGGTAGGAGAATAAAATAATGTCTACAATAGGTTTAAATAATGAAGTGTAAAGACTTGTTACATTGCGTGACCATTGATCAATATCTTGTGTGATGCGTTGGTCCACTTCTTCCACATCATGTGAACCCGCAAGATGAAAGAAAACTTTATTATCCAAGTATTTTTCATGAAAATAACGAGTTACATTTAATTGTAATTGTAATGAAAGTGTATCCATACAGAAACGTATTGAACTATTTGTAAGGGCTGTTGGAATACACCACATAAAAAAAACAATAAGAGATTTGACTAAAGATGCGGGATCACAAGAAATAACATCTCTGCTTAGTTTTCCACTTATACGAGAAATACGCAAAGAAAGATATGTTCTCAATAGGAGTAGTACGGAGACAATGAGTAACATTCCACTTTCCTGTGATCGGAGAGAAGGAAACGCCAAACGCAAGAGAAAAAGAAAACGTTTAAAACTAGATATAGATGTATTACTGTATTTTCTTTTATTAAACTCTTCCTCATATTTACCACCTTTATCCTCTTTATCTTCTTTTTCTTCTTCTTCTTCTTCTTTCTGCTTAACAACAGGTATTTCTCTTTTTGTGCTATTCACTCTTGCCATTGCGGATTCTCGTGAAGGAGCGGTGAGTAAAGCCACAGCAACAGCCGCCGCACTTCCACAAAGCCATCTGCAGAGCACTTTATCACTGCTGCGGGAAACACAGTACTCTTTACAAGCCTCAAGGAATGTGGACATCTTACAATAATAATAAAAAACGAAAAAGAAAAAAACAAAAAGAACCTTCCAATAAAATTTTACCCTTCCACCTAAAAAGAAAGAAAACAATAAAAAACAACAGAAAGGTATTGAGTAGTACAATATAGATAAACAGATAAGAAGAAAGAATGAAAAAAATAATAATAACAGTAATCATCAAAACAAGAAAAAGCAATCATTAACAGATCAAGAATAATAATAATAATAATAATAATAATAATAATAATAATAATAACAAAAAAACAAACAAACAAGACATCGCAAAGTATGTCCACCAATTTCTCTATAGTTGATGCAGTAAAGAAAACATGAAGAATCTGGAATAAGTGAAAAGAGAAAACGAAAAACAAAAAACAAAAAAAAGAAAAATATAATCTTAAACAGAACTCAATACCGTCAAAACATCAAGCAGTACTATCTGTATGTACAGTGGCCGACTCAACCGTTCGAAGTAGTTCTTCAAGTGACTGTCGAAGAGAAATATTTTCATTATACACAGAAAGCATCTCCTTCTGAAATGCAAGAAAGCCCTCTGTACTGACAACAATGGATCCACGTTTTACTTGAGACTGAGTTGCAGGAAAAGAACTATTTTCACCATCTGACTTCTCATCCTTAACAAGAAGAGAAACAGCTCCATGCGTAGCAGAATCCTGTTTGTTGTCTTTATCATAAACTTCAAAAGCATCCGGTAATGTAAAGAAGTATTGAAGACGGTCAAAATGAATATGAACATTTTGAAAAACTTTGCTCTGCTGGAGCCATAACTGCATATTCGCCTGAAGGGTTAACAAACAAGGTTGTAGAGATGGAAAAACTAAAAGCATCACACGACAAAGTGGTAATACCTTCAACTCTATTAATTGTAGCTGAGCATCAGCGATACTACTACACAGTAATGAAGAGATATCAAAACCGTAAAGGTTATGCTCTTTGGCAAGACGGGCCTCTTCCTGAAGTGCATGATATCGCTTTTCTGCCCAAACTTTACTAATCGCAAAAGGACGCATAGTAAAAGCATCCCTGGAAAGTAAAAGCAATAAACGAACAAGTTGTTGTCGAACAATGGGATCTTCTAGTCGCAACGGACCCTTGTTCAGTTCAATGAGGATAGATTGTATAAAAGAATCTATCCCAAAAGATCCATTAGGTGGAAGTAGTAGACCTTTTACAGTATCAAGAAATAATTTATTTTCATGAACTTCTATTTCTTCAATAAATTCAAAGTTTTTCTGAGTCATCATTTCATTAAGAGCATCCAAGCATAATTTCTCTAATAAGATACAAGAATGAGTACCAGCTGCATCTGGGTCCTGCAAAGCAGAAAGAAAACAAGCAGAAACAGATGAATATCGACATTCCATACAAAGTGCAGTCGTTACTGCTGCTGTTAACTCTAGACGACTCATATAAGGTATTAATCCGGAGTGAAAGAGCAGTGCGTAGAAAAATTGGGCATTATCTGCGGCATGATCAGCATTATAAAAGATAGTATCCGTAAAAGTTGACTGCAATTGCAAAAGAAAGAATTCCCATGCACTAACAGAATTTAAAGAACAATCTTTAAAAAGAGAAAGGTTATTCGCGATAGAATATCCAATATGAAAAAAAAGACCATTCGATTTTACAATCTCATTTTTGTCCTTAATGGCAAATACATCTGTATCTAGAGATGTAATAATGGATGAAAGATCTATATTAGTATCAGGTAATTTTGTATCATTCAAATTTAACAAAACCAATGGTGGTAAAAATCTAGGACGATTTAATTCACAAACCGCAGCATCTGTTAAAGAAGATGAATTTGACGAGAAACGTTTTACCATATCCAGCTCTTTTTGCAATTGCTCCAAATGCTCTTGTAACTCTTTCACATGCTGAGTAAGATGTTCCTTTTCCTTATCAATAAAATGTGTACTTGAATTCATCTCTCTCAGACCTGAACCATTTGTTTCTATTCCTTCCTCTAATCCTCTAGTAGAATCATTCATAATTATACGATTCCTATCATCTCTATTACCATCGCCTTCAGGTATAGGTGTGGTGCCGGATAAACCTGTTGAGTGATCATGACTGCAAAGAGGCATTGATGGACGAAGCAAATTCGTTTCATTACGTAGTTCATCACTTTCACGACGCAATCGCTCTAACTCTTTGCGTTGCGTCGCTTGATCTTCTACTTGACGACAGAGTGCCCGTTCAAGATCCTCACAGCGACAACTAAAACGATCTCTATCAGCAATAGCACATGCAATGTCATTGTTAAGTAAATCAATTTCTCTACGAAGTTCTTGTATATGGTTATCCTTTGCCCGAACTTTCTCTTTCTGACGATTCTGTGCGAATTGTAATCTCTTAATAAGATCAAGCAGAGTAGTATGCCATGAGTACTGATTCATTTCAACATCACTTAACGTCTGTGATAGCACCGTTGTAGTCGTTCCAAGTCCTTTCAACTCTGAAGTAAGGCAGCTCCAATCGGCTAAATGATTATGAATAAAAAGAAGGACATCACGAGCAGATTCCCACTCATTATTAGCAGCATTAGGAGACTCTGAAGCAAATACGTTAAGCTCTGGAAAGAGAGAAATAGCATCTCTAACAAGTTTTCGCACAGTAGATTCAAAACCATTGCAAAATGAAGTATTAACACTCGCTTCACTACCAACTCTACGATCTTCCTCAGTAGCTGAAGATAAACCTTTACTCCTTCGGCTCAAAGAAGGAGTTTTACAGGTATTTAAACGTCTACGCCTTACCTCAATTAAGTTATCAGCTGAATCACATGGTTTCTGCTCCTGCTGCTGCGGTTGTTGTTGTTGTTGTTCTTGTTTATATAACGCAATTTCAGTGCGAAGTTTTTTCAAGTCATCTTCTTGTGTCATGCAAAGAAGCTCCAGGCGATGATTTTCGCCCATCAACTCCTCTACTCGACGTTGTGAAGTTAAAAGAAAACGCTCCGCCACAGATTTCGATGACTCACTCTCACATAATTTTACACCACCTTCATTTATAGTTATGGTATTACGATTATAATCATATCGAGGACTTGCTCCTCGCTCTGAGGACACAGAACGTGAAGCGACTATACCACTCAACGATTGTTTAAGATCATTAATGCGTCGAAGACCATTAGAATCTGGTAAAGAAACACCACCCACATCAAGACCCAGAGAAGGACGTGAAAACGTTCTATTTTGGGGCATCAAGCTAAACAAGATCAATTTTACTATTCGCTTAAAAATAAAAAAGGAAAAAGAAAAAAAGTTTAAAAAATATTCAGCGACCTTGCCCACAGTAGATGGGCATACATAGAAAAGAGAAGAACGTAACACAGATAATAAAACAGTATCACTCATCTAACAGAGTGTAACATGCGAAGTTAAACCAATCCCCATTCATACCTAAATAAATCATCGTCTTGTAGAATTCCCTTTACCAACTGCTCAAGTGCACTTAATGCACTATTTGCAACCATATTCCCAGTGCAATCATACGGGTGATGAAGGAAAGTGACAGAAACCTCATAAAAGAAAAAAAAAATCACACACACTCACACAAAAGCACAGACACAGCGTTCGTTATACATAATAAAGAGACTCTGAATTACACTCCTTTATATCACCATGAAAAGAAAAAAAAAACAGATACAAGCCTGAAACGTCCTACAACTTTGACCCCATTGGCAGCACGCTGTACTTCCACACATATTTTGTAGCAGGGCAGTTCTTTGCCAAATCATCAGCGATGCGATCACGCTGGGCCTCGTCGGCTGCCAGAGCGACGACAAGACCACCACGCCCCGTACCGGACATTTTTGCCCCCAAGGCGCCCTTCTCACGGCAGTAATCGACAATGGTGTCCAGCTCGGCACACGACACCGTTAACTGTTGGCAGAGTGTGTGGTTCTCGTTCATTAACTTCCCCACTTGTTGGAGGTCGCCACGCATCATAGCTTCCCTCGCCGCGGTGACGCACGCGTTGTATCGCTCCAGCAGTGCGTTAAACCACGCTGGGTCCGCCGCCTTGCGCCGTTTGACGTCTTTCACAACTTCTATGGTGCTAGCGGTGATGCCCGTACTACACACCACGAGATATAGGGTGTTGTTAAGGGCAAGTCTGCTGAAGATGGACTTTCCGCCGCTGCGCCTGTAAGAGATGAGACCACCGTATGTGGCTGCGGTGTTATCGACGCCGCTTGGAGTGCCATGGTAGCCACCCTCTCCAACAAAGGCGGCGTTATTCACTTCCTCGTTGTTGAGATGCAGTGCGTACATCTCGCTGAGTGCCCGTGCGAGTGAGACAACGTCGCTGGCAGAGGCGCCGATGCCGCTGCTGGGGACGAGTGGGCCGGCGAGGTGAACCCGCAGCCCGTCGGTGGAAGTGTCGATGTGGAGATGCGAGAGGACGAGTTGGTGGGCCCGCCGCTGCTCCGCTGCCTTCGCCGGGATGTACCCCCGCACGGCCGGCCGCTCGTCCACCACCCGCAGCCCCGGCCGGCCCCGCTGCAGCTCCAACGCACACGATGTGTACTCGACGATGCCGGCGACGATCGCCTCCGCCCCGTACACGACGAAGTGCTCCCCGAAGAGGATCACCTTCCCAAACCCAATGTGACGACTCTCCGTACGCTCCTTCACAGCAAAACGCATCTCTTACACAAATACAAGAAAGAGAGATAAACAAATATCTGTCAATCTAGATGGATCGCAATAAAAAATAAACCTACCTATGTTTTATTCTACACACAGAGAGAGAGAGGTTGAACAGAACAGGGAAGGTAAACAAAGGAGTCTCTCAGAGAATCACACACCCACACATACACAAACACAGTGGACAGCCAAAAGGTACAAAAAGTAAAAAAAGTAAAAAGAAAAATAGATCCCTCCTCATAACCCCTCATAAGGCATTAAAGTAAACCCAGAGGGGAAACATCCCACACATCAAAGCAACACACAGAGATACAAAAAAGCAACAAACACAAAGAAAACATAACTAGAAACTTCAAAATAATATTTCTCTTGGGTTTATATTATTCATGACCTTAGCAGTCAAATTGAATACGATTCCGTTTACGTTTGTAATGTGGTGGAACCCTATACCTTACCGGGATGGGAATCTTACTTTTATTAAACCGCCACATCAACCACGCGTATTCATGCTCTTTTATGTGATGTATTAAAACAGACTTTCCAGATAACGGAAAATAGTGCGGACCATAAACAATATCATGAAATCGACACTTACGCTCACTGACATACAATAATCGCGTGTACTGTAACTCGTACAATACACGTCCCACCAAAACATCCTCATGATCCATGTTTAAAGAGAGAAACTCTGCTTCACGTTCCTTACTGTATGGAAGACGAACAAGGTCCTGCAGCGGCTTGTAGGATACAACCTGCTCAGCCACATCTCTCGACACAGTCATACAGAATCCAACAATAAACACAAATCGTTTCGGATAATTGCTCCACACAAGATTTCCCCAATAAATCCCATGACGAGGAAGCGTACGAAGGTCGACAAGAAACTGCGGTACACGCAAGAACATATCATCATCAGCCTTCGTAATGTAACTCGTATTAGGAAAAAGACGAAGGGCTAACTCAAGCCACAAATAAGTCTTACGGCTCATTGCAATTTCAGCCTCCACACCCCAAAAACCACCACCAGAATATAACTTATTGGTATTAGAAACCCCCTCATTTGTGGGAAACGTTATCACATCATGATACTCATTAGCCTCCTCCACTAGTGGGGCAGAGTATTCATATCCCTTTGATGGATGCCGTGCAAGTACATACAACACCAACATGGACCCAGTGAAGTTATTTGATCTTGTCGCAACACCCGGGAACTGCCAGCACGTAGTCCGCTGCAGATAACGACGTCTCCGCCTTCCATCAACATCCATAGATGGAATACCAAACACAATGAGATAGTCCCTCTCCTTCCATGTCTGTACTGTACTGTGTGGAATGTATCGAAGCGCATCCGACAACGAGACTTTATCCACCAGAATAGGACCAGTAACGTTTACAGCTATATCATCTACAGAAACTACTTTGCGTATTCCCATAAACTGTGTAGTGGGTGAGAATATAAGCAACATCAGCAAATAGAGAGTTCCAATAGCTACAATAATTAAAAAGAGCTTTCCAGTCCCTGGAAGCCTCGGTATTGTTATTCTTTTCATATCTCTTCTGTCCACTATAGGTCATATTAGGGGCATAACAAAAGAAAAGAAGACGACCATTCGTAATGGTTTAATATAGTGAACACAAGCAATACATCGCTAGAGATACCACATAAAGGAATCAAGGAGGTTATTATCATTGAGGGATCAACTATATCCATACACAGTGTGAACAAGTCTAATCATAAGAAGGCGGGGGTGCCCATTGATGGTGTGATTCCCTCACTAGCAGCTCTACCAACCGTATGGACTGCCTCTGCAATCGAAGAGTAACGATATTATTAGTTTAATATTCTGCAAGAACAAAAAAAAAAAGAACTCCATTTTAAATAAATATATAAGGCAGCAAATAAGAACAAAAAAAAAAACAGTAGAATAAATACAAATATACATATATGTGTTTACACTACCTACAAGAAATCTTAATACTACCTTTTCCATAATTTCTCTGACGTCTAGCAACAGCATGTGTATTATTCAAAAACCGTTTCATTAACATCATATACTCTTTCTCTTCTACATGATGAATGACAACAGAACTTGGATTCACAGAAAAAGGCCGTACTCCACCGTGTAAATCATGAAAAGAACACTTTCCTTCCCGCACAAATAATATTTTTGGGTAGTAACCCAAAGTAAAAAGGACTAAACCAATCATAGAGTCTTCACCTCTATAACCACGAGAAAGAAATTCAGCATCACGTTCCTCACTATAAGGTAGATACACCAAACGCATTAACGGTCGATAGGAGATAATCTGCTGAACAACATCCCTTGACATTGTATAACACCAACCCAAAGCAAAACGAAACTTTATTGCTGTCTTACCAACCCATCGTTTTGGTTCATACATGGCACCCCAATAAACACCATTCTTAGGCAACACACGAAGATCCGCAAGAAACTGTGGTACTCGCAGGAACATGTCATCATCACCTTTGGCAATATAACTCGTATTAGGAAAGAGACGAAGGGCCAACTCCAACCAAACAACAGTTTTCCGTGTTAAACCAATATCAGGTTTTGGACCCCACTTACCATCTCTACTGACGCTTTCATTCATATACGGTACACCCTCCATTATAGAGACTGCGAGAATATCATGCCACTCTTCAGCCTCTTTCATCAAGGCAGTAGAATATTCATATCCCTGTGATGGGTGCCGTGCAAGTACATACAACACCAACATGGACCCAGTGAAGTTATTCGCCCTCCGTGCAACACCGGGGAACTGCCAGCACGTAGTCCGCTGCAGATAACGGCGTCTCCGCCAATCATGAATATCCACAGATGGGATGCCAAACACAATGAGATAGTCCCTCTCCTTCCATGTATTCACCACAGTGGATGGAATAAAACGAAGAAACTCCGCCATGGATATATTCTCCCGTAATGGAGGCACCACCTTAGGGTTTGGTAACCCAACGGTTGTGGGTGGTAGCTCCGTGTGATCCACACTAGTGTGTCCACCAATGTTCATCACTGCCAAAGGAAGGAAAACAAGGACAGCAATAAGTGCAATAAGGCCGGCGAGAACACCACAAGGTGCAAGACGCCGCCTCTTCATGCTCTTCATCACTACTGCGTATACCGCGCAAAGGAGACAAGCAACAGCAGGGGAGAAGAGAAGTACACAGATGCAAACACAATGCCTGCCCAACACACCCCTACAAGTCTCAATACTCAAGTGTACACTAGCTGTTCATGCAGGTCACAATCCCAATGTGTAGGATAATAACAAACCCAACACCAATCCCACAAGAAACAACCTCCAAGACAGCAAATACCGTTTAATCACGAGGGATATCTCTTCAGGTACACCAATGCACCAGTATACACCCAAGCCATGTAAATATAAGAAGAAAAGTGAACTACACTCATTCCAAAGGTTAATACGAATAATAAAACCAAACGACATTTACATAAAAAGGGTATATTCAACTAATATACGCAAAATCATATATGGGCTGTCCGTGTGTGAATGCTTTTGTGTGTGAATAATCGGTTACAACAGAAATGTATACCCATACACTTCAGTGCCTCTCACACCATAAAAACAAAAAACAGAAATGCATGTGGAAATCACACCCAGACAAACTCAGCAATCGAATTCAATGCGGTTATTCAATCGTGAGTAATTTTTAGCGATAGGAGTTGTGTCGTTTCCGAAGCGATGCATCAGCTTCATGTATTCCTTCTCCTTTATATGGTGCACCATAACAGATTTCTTACCAACACGCCGCTTTGTAGGCGAGCCATGCAAATTATGAAAGCGACAAACCTTCTCTATGACGTACACCAAACCCTTATATTTGCTGAGATGCAGCACATGGCCCACCATCATATCTTCATGAAACATACTAAACCCATCATAATCTCTCTTACGATCTTCGGAAAACGGTAAATACACCAAACGCCGCAGTGCCTCACACCACACCACCTGCTGAACCACATCGCGGGATAGTGTCATGCAGGATCCCAACATAAACTCATACTGTACTGGGCCCACACCGCTCCAGATTCTTCCCCAATAAATCCCATACCGAGGAAGTGTGCGTAGATCTGCGAGAAACTGTGGTACTCGTAGGAACATATCATCATCACCCTTGGAAATATAAGTCGTATTAGGAAAGAGACGAAGGGCTAACTCAAACCAAAAATACGATTTTCGGCTCATACCAACCTCAGCTTCTAAACCCCAATAACCAAAGCGTCCAATTGTTTTATTAGTTGTAACGCGTCCCTCATTCATTGAGAGTGTAATGACATCTTGACACTCCTCTGCTTCCTTCTCCAGTGTAGCAGAATATTCATATCCCTGTGATGGGTGCCGTGCAAGTACATACAACACCAACATGGCACCAGTGAAGTTATTTGATCTTGTCGCAACATCAGGAAACTGCCAGCACGTAGTCCGCTGCAGATAACGGCGTCTCCGTCTCTCATCAATATCCACAGATGGGATGCCAAACACAATGAGGTAGTCCCTCTCTTTCCATGTCTGTA